AGCCAAGAGGATACAAGGGAGAGAGAGAGTTTTCCAACAAATGGTAATAGGAAATTGGACCACGAAAGAATGAAATGTGTCTTACAGAAAAATTATTTCAAAGTGGATTAAGGACTTGAATGTATAGGGCCAACCCTGCTGGCGCAGCAGTTGAGCACTGGGCTGCGAAGCTGCCCACAGCATCTGCAGCGCCGGTTTGATCTCCGACCGCTGGCAAGGGTCCCACATGGCGCTCAGACGTCTCCTGCCATGCCCGCTGCTCCCCTCAGCAGTGTATTTCATCAGTCTGCCTATTCTGTTCCCCGCTCTGGCTCTGGTGAATTCTCTCACCCTCCCGCGCTTCTGACTGTACCCAGTACTTGTATAAATAAATAAACAAATCTTGGGGGAAAAAAAGGACTTGAATGTATAACCCCAAAGAAAATACATAGAAGAGGCCTTGAGTTCTTCTGAGTGTTGCCTGGCCACTGCCATGCTGCAGCCTGGGATCCTGGAGTCATGAGTGACATCGACACCATAGCCAGCATCAAAGTTTTCATAAATTCATCCATTGCTTATGTTTCTGATGTTTGGGTATGCCCTTCCAAAATACAGGCATTTTTATCTCTGCTTTTGGACTCTCTATTGTATTTGCCAGAGAATATCTGATTGAATGAGGAGCTTATGCACTTGTTCTCACAGGAAATACAGTCATCTTTAACTATACTAGGCTGTTTTTGGTCTTTGGAAGCAATGACAACTTCAGCTGTCAGCAGCAGTGAAAAGAATTTCTGACCATTCTCAGGTGGGCTTCTTGTCATTTGTTGGTCATCATCATCTGTGCACACAGAAGATGGAACAGTAATGTCGTATGCTACAGCAACCATCAGGGAGAGGTTCTAGATGCTTCCTTCTCACTTTTATTGGAAACACAGTGTTTTCAGAGTCCTGCTAAGGATTGAAAAGATTTTTTCTTTTTTTTTTCCAAAGATTTATTTATTTATTTGTTTGTTTGTTTGTTTGTTTATTTAAATAATTTATTTATTTAAAGATTTATTTATTTATTTATTTATTTAAACAAGAACTGGGGTACAGGCCAGATGTGCAGGAAGGTGAGAGGATTCACTAGAGACAGAGCGGGGAACAGAACAGGCAGACTGACGAAATACACTGCTGAGGGGAGCAGCAGACGAGCCAGGAGAGGTCTACCGCGCCATGTGGGATGCTCGCAGGTCAGCTGGGATTGAACCAGCGCTGCAGAGGCTGCGGACAGCTTCACAGCGCTGCGCTCAACCGCCTGCGCCATCAGGGGAGGCCCGAAAAGATTTTTTCTTTTGGTAAAGTTTGATTGCTTTCACACTTAACTCTGTAGTATGTTGATTGTGGTGTCCTGCTGAACTTAAATATTTATGTTTTCCCTGTTCTGTATTTTTTTTAAATCAACATGCAATGTTAAACATTTTTTAAATATAATAACTGTTTGCATTGGCTAAGAATTCGGATTTCTGTTGGCTGTATTACTGAGCTAAAGTACATCTTTTAAAATTATTTAACTGCCATTATTTTGAAAAATATAAAAATAAGTTTTCAATCAGTAAGGACTTCACTTCTGATTTTATACAAACATGCAGACCTTATAGACTCCGAGCAAATATGGCTACAATTATACTTCAGAGCAACCAAGTATTAATACCCTTGCTGTCCATAAGGTTGCTGGTTTTGCTAGTAAGCAGATGTTTTGTGTATGGAAAATCATTTTATGGAATTACTATAAAGAAGTGCTGTTCTTTCAATTCTTAGAATTTATTGTTAAACCTTAAGGTAAGCATAGAAAAACAGTTTTAAAGTATGGTTTTTATTTATGTTTATTGTAGTAAAAGTAGAATGAATTGTATTGTAGGAAGACACAATGTTGACATTCCATTTCTGGAATTCTGTTTCTATTTGTAAGTGAAGCTTTTGTATTCTGTCAGTCTTTCATGTTTAACCACGGTTGTTCCCTGTGCTGCCACCTGTGTTGCTGTGCAGCACAGCCTTTGGATTGCAGCTGTGGTGCAACCTTAACAGCACCGCCTGTGATCACCTCCAGCTGCCACTGTGAGTTGGGTCCTGATGTCCCACTTATTGGTATGCCCCCAGCTCCAGGCTCTCATTGAAGGAATATCTTGCACAAGCAGCTTTTTGTTTGGACTCGTAGACACTATCTGCGGTAGGACAGCCAGCCCTTTGTGGCCTTAGAAACTCATCTTTTTCCTAATTTCCTCTTTGTTAATAAGCCCTATTGTTGCACCCTGAGCCTGAGTCATGTATAACAATTGTTAAGGATCCACAAACCATGACATTCCCCAAGTTTTGAAATGTTTCGGGAGTACATCAAACTTAAAAGCTCCTGTACAGCAAAAGAAACCATCACAAAGTTGAAAAGGTAACCTATTGATTGGGAGAAGAGAGTGGCAATTCACACTTCAGAAAAGGAGCTGGTATCCAAAATAAAGAAAGAACTCATCCAACTTAACAACAAAGAATTAAACTCTGGACTTTTAATATAAAAGAGTATGAAAAGTTCCCTGATATAATTTTAGATTTCATGTTCCTAGTAAAACTTTAAGAAGCTGTCCTTTGAGTTTTGGTATAACAACAAAGAAGAACATGCATAATTATCTGGGAGGCCTATTAAAATATTCTCCTCATTTCTAATTACATATCTTTGTGAGGCCAGATTTTCTTCATATACTTAAACCAAAACAACATTAGTATAGACTGAAATGCAGAAGCAAATATGAGAATCCAGCTGTCTTCCATTGAGCCAGACAGAGATTTGCAAAAATTCAAAACAGTGCAGCTCTTCTCACTAATTATTCTTTATTTTGGAAAACATACTTTTTTTTTTTAATTGTGTGTGTTCACATGATTGGATCTTAATGTATTTTTAAATTTTCTCAGTTTTAATTTTAAATTTGGTAATTATCAGTAGGACTTATACACACAAAAGCTTTTTGAGGTCTTCAGTAATTTTTAAGACTATAAAGGGTACTGAGGCCAAAATGTTTGAAAACCTCTTGCTTAAACATAATCATGATGGTCCTCTCACCCTTGAAATAACATGTGTAGGTATGAGCTTGTGGTACAGTTCTGGCCAAAGGCATGTGAAGAAAAAGTGTGTTCAGTTTTAACTTTAGAGTATTAAATAGAAACATTTGAAGGAATTGGTAATGTTCTGTTTCTCAGGCTAGCTAATTGATGTGTAATATTAGTTAGCCTTCTTTATGTCTTTTTTAAAATTTTGTGTAGAACTGGGGTGTAGGCCAGAGGTTCAGCGTGTGAAAGGATTCACCGGAGACAGAGCGGAGAGCAGAATAGGCCAATCTACTGAAATACACTGCTCAGGGGAACAGTGGGCAAGACAGGAAAAGTGTTGCTGCACCATGTGGGTTGGCTCTCTGGCCAGGGATCAAATTCAGGATATCATGGTGGGCTTTCACAGTGCTAGCACTGAGCCTTAACCCCTAGGCCACAGGGAGACCCCCTTTTTATCTCTTATACATTAAATTATTTCAGGTACGAAATGTTTTGTGACAAAAATTAAAAGAGCACGTGAAAGAGAAGATTCTCCTTTCTCTGTTAAGCATTTTGCTGCATTTTCATCTGGCATATCGATCTGAGTATACATTTTTTACTCTAAAGAATTTTGTACATATTTTGTGGCTCCCTAAGTCTATGTCTGTGACATTTGGGATATTTGACTTCTAATCTCAGAGTCTCCAGCTATCTAGCCACATATGCAGTCTTGCCACATTTACAAGGCAGCTATTCAAAACATACACAGTCTCTCATAAAAAGACCTGCTTCTGACATAGTCCTCTCTCCTGGGATGAGGCAGCATTCCACTGTCTGTCATATAGTAGACAATCTGCCAGGTTTTCTCACCTAAAACCCTTTTGGGATTTTAGTCCACCAGTGCAAACTACCACACTGTGAATCCCCTTTAGACACATTTTCAGATCTTATACGATCACTTTGTAAATGTTAGAACCACAACAGATTCAAAGGCAGGTTTACTACAAAGTTGTTGAGTGAGTGGTCGCTCCTTTCCCAGTGTGTTCACCCCATGTGTTTCCGGGTTCCTCAGTCTCACAAAAGGGCCCAGGGTTATGAAACTGAAATTGTGCAAACCTGGGGAATGTCATGGTTCATGGCTCCTTACCTCTATGCTTACAATTGCAAGACACACCTCAAACACAGAGTCTAACAAGACTAGGGTTTATTTACAGGGTGGGGGAGGGGGGAATTCGGGAAATAGAAAGAGTTTCTAAGGCCACAAATGGCTACCTGTCCTATCCCAGTTAGTGTCCAGTGGTCCAAGCACAAAACTAGTCGTGAATGATGACATTGTCTTTCCATTGAGACCCTAAAGCTGATAAGCGGGATACGAGGACCACTGATAAGCGGGATACGAGGACCAAATTCACGATGGCAGATGGAGGTCATCACAGGTGGGGTTTCCTCCCACCACCACAGCGGCCAGCAGCAGCCATCTGGAGGCTAGGCTGTGCAGCGCTGGAGGCAACAGCAACAGGAGACAGTTCCAGAGGTGGCACAGGCACAGGCCAGCAATGCCGGTCAGCAGGTAGTGCTGAAGATCAGGGAGCACTGATAAGCTGTTAGAGGTGCTGGGCACAGGTCAGTGGCACTTAATCATGGTGGAGGTAGGAGCAGTGGTCAGGTGGTAGTACTGGAAGATCAGGTACCAGCAGTCAGGAGATGGTGCTGGTCATGCTGGAGGCAGGAGCAACAATTGACAATCTGAAGGGAGAGTCAGAGGTCAGAAGTGAAGGTCTTCCCAGGCAAGAATGTCAGTGAGAGTGTCTGAATCTGTCTGCTATGCTTGCTTTTTTTGGCTTTCAGGGTCCATGGGTTTCAAACCTGACTGGCGTTTTTTTTTTTCTCTCTTTTTTAAATCTAATTGGTGCCTTTTCAAAACTGATGTGGATTTCAAATCTGCTCCCCACAGGTATATGAAACCTGCCCAGTGCCAGGCCCCTGGCTGGGCGTCTCTGCTGCACCACTCAGCAAGGAGCTGTGAGCTTCCCTTACAATTCCAAGGTATCTGGGTTTCTCCTTCTCCTCCTCTTAATGTAACTTTCTCAGAAATTCGTAATCAAGTAGTAAAACTAGGGACTTGAACAATTCAATTTACACGTTTGTGTACTAAAAGGTACCTGAACAAAATCTGGGTTACTTCAGGTGATCCATTCAGTAGGCACTAAAATCTCTGCTACAGTTGTCTACATATATATGTGTATTTTATATCTTTCCGCAATAAAATACACTGTGTGTAATTAAAAAGGAAATAAATATAGGTAATGAAAACAAGGGAAAAGAGTCATAAAAGTAAGAGATGCAGTTGTACTTCAAAGTATTTAAGACAATAAAATCTGATAAATGCTGATAAAGGAAGAACCCAGTTCACTGCCTGATGCATCATTTTTACTTGCTTATTTTACTTATTTATAAAGTTTATAGCAATCCATATTGGATGAGATTCTTTTAACAACCTTTGAACATTTTTGCAACAATCTTATTTTGTCAGTTATTCAATTATATCTACATTACAGCATTTTAAGGAATATTCATTTAGTTTCAGCCCAGTAAGAGATATAAAAGATAAAAGCCTAAGAGTCCAAATGTATGTCAAGTGTAAATGGATACAGTGGCTGTTAGAAAACTGTGGTATTTATCACCATTAAAGTGCCCATGTTGCTTTGAGATAGTGGGGAGAGTGGGGGAGTGTGGGAAGGGCTAAAGGGCTGAAGTGTAAAACGGGGATCCCTGGGGCTGGGAGTGATTTGGAAGGCCAGTGATTGGCAGGAGGAAGGAGAAAAGACAAGGGCTTAGAGAAACCCAAGATGCACTTGAAAGGATTGGGGAAAGTGAGGACAATGGCAGTGGGAGGGCTGAGAGGAATTAGGAATCACTGAAGAAACTTGATGAGGGGGACAGGAAGGGAAGGGGTGGGCCTGACAGGACCACAAAGGTAAAGTGGAAACAACTGGCTGTCAGTGAATTGACCTGGAGCCTCCGCCTTTAGGACCTGTTAACACTGAGCAAACCCCCTGTGGAAGAGTGAGGTTGTTAGCAAACAGGAAACATTAAAGTTCGCAGTGCTACCAACTGAGCCTAGCAGAGTTCTTTTAGTTCCCCTCCTCTTGCCTCTTTTATTACATTGTAGTGTGTTTCTAAAAGCAACTTGAGATCTTTGAACTCTCCTGAATCTGAAGCCTCTGATCGTCACTGTTTTGGATCATTCCCATGTGATTCTAAGGTGTAAAACAGACATTTCAACTAGTAGAAACGTCCTTTTGTGACCACCATTAAGAATCAGGAAGTGGCCCCTAAACCTGGGATGACATGAACAGAGGTTACCTCTGCAATAGAATGCAGGTATGCATAAGGGGGTGCAGATCCCAAGACTCTCCCACTTATCTCTTGGTTTAAGGCAGGCTTTCTTTTAGGAAGGAAAGGGCCCTGTGGCTATCGGCTTTCTTTGTGGTTCAAGCCATTTTCCACACAGTGAGTCACAGAACAACAAGGTAGCAGGAACCTGCACAGAGGGGCTATTATGGGCTGAAATGTATACTAATGCCTAATACCTTAAAATATGACGGTGTTTCAGGATAGGGCCTACAAAGGGGTAACTGAGTTAAAATGAGGCCCATCTGACTGGCGTCCTTATACAAAGAGTAAATTTGGACACACAGAACCCTGCAGTGGCGTGCGCACACAGAGCAAAGGCTGTGAGAGAACACTGCAAGAAGCCACCTGCAAGGCAATGAGAGAGGCCTCAGAGGACACCAACCCTGCTCACCCTTTGATCTTACACTTCGAGCCTAAAGAGCAATGGCAAAAATTAATTCCTGTTGTTTAAGCCACCTAATCTGTGATATTTTGTTATGCCAGCCCTAGCAAACTAAATCAGGGGCCTTCAGATCTGAGGGCATAGGGACCTAGGAAAATTGTTTTTTTTTTAATTTATTTATGTGTAGAACTGGGGTGTAGGACAGAGGTGCGGGGGTTAGAGGATTCACCAGAGACAAAGTGCAGAGCAGAACCAGTGGATCTACTGAAATACACTGCTGAGGGGAGCAGTGGGCGAGACAGGAAAGGTTTGCTGCACCATATGTGGGTTAGCTCCCTGGCTGGGGCCACAGCAGGGACAATAGCAGTAATAGTGCTGAGACTCAACCCCTACACCACCAGGGAGGCCGAGACCAGGAAAATTAATTCAGGCCTTTTAATGTTTTCTAGGAACTGTTTGGAAAGACTTCCAGTCTTTCTGCTCAGGGATTTAATCTTTGATTTTATAAATTTAAAACCTTTTTCAGGCACAGCAGACCTCTTCTGACTCACCACTGCTCCCTCAGCAGTGTGTTTCAGTCAATCTGTCTGTTCTGTTCCCCACTCTGTCTCTGGTGGATCCTCTCACCACCCCCGCCACACACCTCTGGCCTGTACCCTAGTTCTTCTATGAATAAATAAATAAATCTTTAAAAAAAACACACATTAAAAAAAAAAAACCTTTTTTAATTGACGTCCAAGAGGGTGAGTTCTCCACACTGGTTCTAAAAATTAACTGGAATTTTAGTTTAGTCATGAGAGCTATATTTGCCAAGAAAACTGAAATATTTATGATATACCAATCCTAAACAATTGTTTCCCATTAAGAACTAAGTAGAGCCCAAACCCACCTGCCACCCCACTCCCCTGCCCCCAAATCTGGAGAGACCCTTATTCTTCATCACTCAACTGAAAGGTTCCTTCCTCAGGAATGCTTTTCTTGACCTAGGAAGCACTGGATTGCCCCTGCACTGAAAGGGTCCAAGGAATCTTGTTCCAAGGAACTCATAGTATTTTAATTGTTTATAAGCCTGCATTTCCCATTAGACTATGAGCTCCAAGAAGAAAGAAATTGTGTCCTGTCTATTGATATATCTTTAATGGTATCTGGGGCATACTACATGCTCAAAACAAACAAACAGACTGCAGCAGCAGTCTGGAGGCCAAGCTGGGCAGTACTGGAGGCAACAACAACACAAGACAGTTCCAGAGGTGGTACAGGTACAGGCTAATGATACTGTTTAAAAGCAGGCAATGTAGAGGATCAGGCCAGTGGTAAAAAGTTCTTTGAGATGCCAGTCAGTGACGAGCAGTGCAGCTCAGCAGGCAATGTCGAGGATCTGGCGGTAGCAGGGCTCAGGCAAGAGTCAGACGCCAATGGCACTAGTCAGGAGATGCCAGTTGTACCAGAGGCAGGAGCAGAAATCAGGCAGCAGTGCAGAAGTGAAGGTCTTCCCAGGCAAGGGTCACAGGCAAGAGTCAGAGGAGTCAGAGGTCTGAATCTGTCTGCTGGCCCTTTCATATGACTTTTAGGATGCACGGGTTTCAAATCTCCTTGGCGCATTTTCAAAACTGGTGTGGGTTTCAAAACCCACTCCCCAACAGCTGTGAAACCTGACCTCCACTAGGGCTCGCTGTCTCCGCTGCACCACCCAACAGGGAACCAACGATCTCCTCTACAGCTTCATGCACCTCTTTCTGCTGAATACACGCCCAAGGCTCTCTGACCAGGCTATCACATTTCATCCTCAATTCTTCATGGCTTGGTTATGGTTCCTGTAAGTTGATGAATATTGGTTAAGCAGAGAACACTGGATAAACATTGAGTCTGGGAAATCCAGGAACTTGGATTCAATGTTTAGAGGTTATGAGAATGTGAAGAATTCAGAAATTGAAGAAGCTGATTTTGAGGCAAGTGCACAACAGCCAAGGGTGTCATGACCGTGGTAGGGCCGGCCTGGAGGCCTGAGCATGGATGGAGCTGAGCAGATGGTGACATGGTCCTGCTGGACTAGGAGAAAGAAGAAAGAAAAAAGAAAACAACTGAGTCTAGGGAAAGATTGAAAGGGTAGCTGATAGCTCTTTCCAACGTAAGTTTCTTGGCCCCTAGTTTTCAAAGAAACTAGCCAGACCCAGCAGGCTCAAGTGTCAACATTGCCGTTATTTTTTTTTTGCATGATCTTTAGTTAAATTCCAGTTGTTCGATGTGCCTCCTGCATACTGCTAAACGTTAAGGTCCGTGAGTATCCTCCACACTGTTATCTCGAAAGCAGTAATCAACAAGTATTTGCTGAAAGGATCAATAGATGGGTGTAGCGGTAAATGGATGTTTGACGGAATCTAGAGTACAGTGCCTACTCCTGCTTCCCACATTGATGTGTGGTTCTCTCTGGGTTAGGTCCTTTCCCCAGCCACCTGCCCCCTGATACCTCAGAAAGCCCTTAGTCATTTGGCTCAGATGCCCCAGCTTTGGAGACTAGCTATTTATTAACTAAACTGTTGCACCACTTGCTCTTATAGCCTTAAATTAATTTGTAGCCTAAGTTAATTCTTAACTGTTTCCTTTCTGTACATATGTCATTTCATGGTTTGCCTTATCTGATTTTCCCCAATTTCCTGTGCATTTGCGGTTTTCTACAGTTCTCACTACCAAAGGGCCCGAAGCAGCCACAACAAACAAGTGTGGGCACCTTTCTAAGAGGATCTCCTGCTCCAACTGGGCCTCATCCAACTGGTGTTCATCCAAGCATTCCCACCCAAGGTTACTTACGCTAAAGGAGGAAGATCGTTCTCATATCCAGTTCTTGGGGGAAAGAATTGTTGATGTAGCCAGAACCCAAAAAGAAGAAAGATTACTTGGCAACAGCTAAAGGTTGGTGATGTACTTTTTCCTTTAAACTTGGTGAAAGCTCCCATGTTTGTTTTCTTTTTTTTTTTTAAGGATTTATTTATTTATGCATACAAGAACTGGGGTACAGGCCAGCGGTTTGGAGGAGAGGAGAGAGGATTCACCAGAGACAGAGTGGGGAACAGAACAGGCAGACTGACTGAAATACACTGCTGAGGGGAGCAGCAGGTGAGCCAGGAGTGGTCTGCTGCACCATGTGGGTAGCTCCCTGGCCAGGGATCAAACTCTGCTGCAGTGGCTGTGGATAGCTTCATAGGTTGCTAACCCCTTGTGCCACCAGGGAGGCACCCATGTTTGCTTTCTTTCCTGTCAATTTCATTAGTGGATTTTCTCCAAATGACCTTTGTTATTTTTTTTGTTCTTTTTTTAAAGATTTATTTATTTATGCATACAAGAACTGGGGTATAGGCCAGAGGTGTGGAGGGTGAGAGGATTCACCAGAGACAGAGTGGGGAGCAGAACAGGCAGACTGACTGAAAACACTGCTAAGGGGAGCAGCGGGCACCACAGGAGAGGTCTGCTGTGCTATGTGGGTAGCTCCCTGGCCTGCCGGGGATGGAACTCATGCTGCAGAGGTTGTAGATAGCTTCATAGTGCTGTGCTTAACCCCTTGCACCACCAAAGAGGCCTTCCAAATGACCTTTGGAATAAACAAGTACAAAATATTTTAAATCAATAAAATAAGCTTCCTAGGGACTGAGAGTGTATCCATCATCAAGTCCCCAACAGGTAGAATAGTGCCTGACATGTACATGTAGATGCTCAATAATCATTTGATGAGGAAAGGAAGGAAGGAAGAAGGGAACAAGAGAGAGGGTACGGGATTGGAGAATGAGCATTACTGGAAAGAATGTTAATGTATTATTCAGAAATAATGTGATGATAACTTAGTCATGTCTTCAGAGTTAATTAAATGCATTAACAGTGACACTTAGAATCAATAAGACAAATGAAGTCACTTTGCAAGATGAAAGATGTATTCATAAAAATAAAAAAAAAAAATAGACAACCAGAATAACAAGTAAACTCTTTGGAAAGCACAAAGATAAACAGCTGTGATCATAGTTTAAGATAAATTCAAAACTGTAATGGAACAGCCTTTTGTTCTGTCTATGCCATTTCTCAAAAACAAATAAAAATCATGAAGAGCTTTATTTATGGATAAATGCAAGCTGATTGTGGAGTTAATAGAATTGACTACAACTGTTCAGTTTGGTATTTAGAAAAGGTCATCTAGCATGAAATGGTGTTCTGAGGAAATTTACAAATATCTAGACTTCCTGCCGTTGAGGGATTAACCACATAGTAATTCAGTAAAGGTTTGAAACTGTTCATGTGTCAAGCAAAAAGCATCTCAGTGCAGGAAAAAAAAAAAGATTAAGGAACTCAGCACTTTTTTTAGTATCAGTCTTTCGATTATTGGAGAGCATATGGGCTACACAGTTCAGTTCTGTCAAGTCGACTCTAAATGACACATACATTGGAAGGGAACATACCACCATGGTGAAGAGAGTAGGGGGATCATTAAGACTTATAATTTAGAAAATCAAGATTTCAAAAATAAGGGAATATTTTTTCAGCAATTCAGATAGCAGCATATATTAAAGTACTAAATATTAGTAAAAGTAACCATTGTCTATTGTTTTAATTTGTAGAAAATAAAATGTAACCTAGAAAAAAATCTAAAAACCATCTCCAAAGCCACTTCACAGAAACCTCCCTTTTTCACACCAGCTTTGAAATTGTGTTAATGATGCTTGTGATTTGGTTTGAAGGATTTGCCTGAGTGATCAGCACAAATGATTGTAAAAGAAAACTCTTAGTAATGTAGGTAGATGGTGACTGGTGACCAATTTAAAAAAAAAAAATTATCATTTTGGCTGCTGTAGGTTGTTCCCAAAGTTAAATGATTAAGGCTTTACCTGTATCATAAATTTCACCTGTCAAGCTGATTAATGCAAGAGCTCAGTGCATCCCAAACTTCAACCAGTGATTTTTTTTTTGCAATGTAACATGTTTTCTCTTTCAATTAAATTCTTTTAAAATATATTCAAAAGAAAACCATGAATATTACCATCTAAAATTACCTCTGACAGGCATTCTTTAGAAAGTAACAGTGATGAAAAGTTAGGACTATTTCAAAACTAATTCTATGAAATGGAGATCTGCTGTTAGGAAGGAGTCAAAATCCTTAGTTTATGGTAGTGTTGGGGTAAATCATATGCCAGATTAGGTTGCTCTTTGTGACTTTAAGAAGGTTTGTGTTTAGGCAAAAAATTCAACTTCAAAGTCCAGACGATAAGGAGAAAAAAAGAGTGTGAGGGAAAAACAGTTTATACTTGTTACTGCCTTACTCTTCCTTCCCTGCTGGAGAGGACCCAGGGCAGAGGAACACAGCCCCTGCGGGACCCAAAGCAGGCATGTAGATGCATATCTTACTTACTAGAGTACAACGATTTGTTATGAAAGTATAAAAATGTATTGTGGAAGACAAGGCAAGTCTTATCAGAGTTTCATTTTGTCTTTGAATCGTAATATTTTCTATCATCTTGGTGTGAAATTCTGTCCTCTCTTGTTTACAGTTGTGCAGTCTCTAATCATGTTATGTCTTTAGAGTGGTGCTCTTGGTTTAGATGAGTGCTGTTATTATGACAAAGCAGGACATTATCTATGTAATATAGTGAAAAATTATTATTCTTTCAAGACTTGCATTCTTATTCCTCCTGCTTGTGGAGAATTTTCACTTACTCCTGACTTTTCAGTTGGGGCAACCTTGTGCATGATACCAGAAGCGGGTGGACGAGAGGGGTGAGGGCTTGCCACATGGGCTTCCTTCAGACAGAACCTCCATGCCTGAGACGGTGGTAAACCCATGCCTCCCAGGAGGAAAGTTACCACCTGAATTTTAAAATTTCATGATACGGTGCTTGTATTTAGATGTGTAAGGCCTGGTAAAGATCCCTTTAAAGTTAGACTCCAAAGTTGACAGGTCTGTGTTTTCTTAAAAGAGTGTCTGGAAGCCTGGAAAGGAAGCTGGAGAGAGGTTCCCTTAAAATGGAAAGGCAGGGTGAGATTGTAAAAATGAACTGCCTTCTCTCTCAAGGAGGTGGAACATAACTCTTCACTCTTGATGTGTGGGCTGTACAGTGACTTCCTTCCAAAAAGCACTGTCTGGAAGGGGTCAGGGAGTAATATTACCATAGAGAAACCTGACAAACCATCAAGCCACATGATCAAGGCCCAGTAAGCAGTGATAACTCATGTTGATAGTACGGACCATAAGATGATGGGCTGAAAGGGACACTTTACCTCCCTGGTCTTTCTCCCCCAAACCAATAACCCCAGTTCAATCTCATGAGGATAGCCGATAAACCAAAATGAAGGGAATTATGTAAATATTTACTTAGTGCTCCTCAATTTACCCAAGTCATCTGGATCAAGGAATTCGTGAGAAACTATGCCTGGAGGAGCTGAAGGAGACATGAACTAAGTGCAATGTGGTGTCCTGGATGCTTTTCTAGACAAAAACAAAAACAAAACACTAAGAAAAACTTAATTTTAAAACTCAGGAAATCTTAATAAAGTGGACATTAGTTAAAAATAATAGTGTTGGGGGGCCTCCCCGGTGGCGCAGCGGTTGAGCGCTGGGTTGCGAAGCTGCCCGCGGCCTCTGCAGCACCGGTTCACCCCCCGGCTGCTCCCCAGACACCAGAGGAGGGTCCCACATGGCGCGCAGACCTCTCCTGCCGCCCGCTGCTCCCCTCAGCAGTGTACTTCGGTCCTTCTGCCTGCTCTGCTCCCCGCTCTGGCTCTGGTGAATTCTCTCACCCTCCCGTGCTTCTGACTGTGCCCAGTGCATGTATAAAAACAAAAACAAACAAATAAATAAATAAATAAAACATGCCTCTATTAAAAAAAAAATATCTTTAAAAAAAAAAAATAGTGTTGGGACTCCCCGGTGGCACAGCAGGTTGAGCACAGCACTGTGAAGCTGTCCACAGCCTCTGCAGCGTGGGTTGGATTCCCGGCTGGCCAGGGAGATACCCACCTGGCGCGGCAAACCTCTCCTGCCTCAGCCACTGCTCCCCTCAGCAGTGTTCTCAGTTGTCTGCCTGTTCTGCTCCCTGTTCTGTCTCTGGTGAATTCTCCCACCCTCCCATGTCTCTGGCCTGTACCCCAGTTCTTGTATAAATAAATAAATCTTTTTAAAAAATAGTATTAATTCACTGACTGTGACAAATATACCAGTGTTAGGAATAGGTGTTAACAGTAGGGGAAACTTGGGTGTGGGGCATATCGGAGTTCTATGCTCTACCTTCACAACTTTTCTCTGAACCTAAACCTATTCTAAAATTAAACATTTATTTTAAAGAAAGCTAGTTGCTCAAAGAAGCCACTGGTTGGAAAACTAAGATGCTTCATGACTTCCAATATTTCCTAAAAACCCTAAAACTTTAGGGCCTCCCCTGGTGGCACAGCGGTTGAGTGCTGGGCTGCGAGGCTGCCCGCAGCCTCTGCAGTGCTGGTTCGTTCCCGGGCCACCGGTGAGGGTCCCACAAAAAAAAAAAAAAAAAAAAAAAATCCTAAAACTTTGTAATAACATCCAGAATTAGGTTGTGCCTCTGGTGGCTGTTAGTCCAAGATTAATGAGAACAGTTGTACAGTCTAGTTGAGAAGGAAAGGTATATTAAGTCATTTAATATCTCATTATTTCAGTCATTCATTTATTCACATGGCTACACCAAAACAGTGATATCCTTTCTCCTAGCTCAGCCCCTCCCAATCTCCTTTATGGATCTCTCTGGATCTATCCATCCTTAAATGTGGCATTTCTCATAAGCATTCATATGCGTGTTTCCTACATTTTTCTGGCCTTGGCTTCATCTACCACTTATTTGCCAATAATTCTCTGCTCTACAAATAGATCCTTGTGTCTAAAGATGTCCCTCCTTGGATTTCTCACA